ATATTATAAATAATTCTATATATTAAAAATTTGATAATAATAATTATATATGTATATATTATCAGCGGAGTAATTAATTAATAGTAATGAAGTCATATAGATAATGCAATATAATAATTTCTTAATTTAAAATTCTGGAAATACTGAGAATTCTGCAAATTCTAAAAATACGAAAGATCTACATAATTCTTCAGATCTACAAAATACTAATAATAACTCTAATTTCACAAATTAAATGAAGTTTAAAAATACTTGATTTAATATATTTTATTTTTTATTATTATTTTTATTTTATTATGTATTTTTATTATCTTTAATTTATTTATTTTACTTATATTTTATTTATCAAATTAGTTAATTTATAGTATAGTAATTAATTAGTGATAATAAAAAAAATTTGTATAAATAGATAGACTTTTGCTTATATTATAAAAATTAATTTTTTTGCAAATTTTGAAACTCTTTTGCAAGTTTGTAAACTTTTTTGTGAATATGAGTTTTAATATTAATAAAGAAATCAATTAAAACTTATATCTTTCTACCTCTTTATATCTTCATATAGTTTGATATGATTCTTTCATATTATTTATAATTAAAAATAGTCATCATAATTATTTTCAAATTTTAATTAAGTTGCAATTTAATTATGTAATAAGAAAATTTAATTACGTTACAAGTTATAACTTAATTATATTATTTTTTGAATTGCAATGATTATTTTTATTTGTAATTAAATTCATCATCTAAATTCTTTAATTAAATTTATTTGTAATTTCATCTTTTAAGTCTTCATATTTGATAGATTTGTTAAGTTTAATGTGTAAATTTAGTAAAGTTAAGAGTTAGACAGAACTTAATATTTTAACTGCAGTTAGCAACTTCAAATAAGAACTTAAAGACATAATTAACTTGAGTTGAAGGATTTCATAGTAACAATATAAATGTTTTACAGTAAAAAAAGAAAAAATTACCAAAAAAATTTTTTTTTACTTTATAAGCTAAATATCATTTATTATTTAGTAAAATAAATCTAGAATTAATATTAACTTAAAAAAAAATTTAAATTGATTTTTTTTTTTAATAAAAAATATTTATTTATTAAAATATAGATTTTTTTTATTTGAAAAAAAAAAAACTTAAAAATAAATTAATAATAAATCTAATTTATTTTATTAAAAAATTATTTTAATTTATAGAATAAAAAATTTGTTATAGTTTTTCCTCTTTATTATAAATGCTTATATAATAATTAAAAAATATAATAAAAATAGTAATATACTTAATAAATAATAATTAATAAATATATAATTATATATTATTTTATTATAATATATATAAATAAAAATAAATTACATTTTTAAGTATTCTTTATTATAAAATTTTTCACCTTTAAGGATTTCTATTATGAATTTAAAGTAAAAAAAATTTCTTAAATTTTATTTATGAAATTTAAATTCTAAAAAAATTATTAATAAAATTTATATTAAAATTTTAAAAATATTTTTTTAATATTTATTTAATAAAAAAATTATCTTAAAAATTATAAAAATAATAAAGAAAAGGAAAAATAAAAAAAATAATGTTAAAAAAAAAAAAAAAATTCAAAAATAAAAGGATCAAGAATTTTTCATTTAATAATTTTCAATTAATTATAATACAAAATTTTATATAATATCTTTTAATTTTTAAATTATATTATAAATTTATAATTTATAATAAAAATTTATTATATTTAAATAAAACAAATATATTCAAATTTTAACTTAATATGATTTTTTTATAAATATATAATATTTAAATTTAAAATAAGTAATATATATACTTGTAAATTTTTTTTTTTTTTTTAAAAGATTTTAACTTTATGAAGAAAATACTTTATTATTTTAAAAAAAAATTTTCTTATTTTAATATTTCCCTGAATAATTTGATGTAAAAATTTCACGTAAAATAAGAAATTATTTATTTATTTATGTATGTATATCACAAATAAAAGATAAATAAATAATATATAGTATTTGAAATTAATTTACAGTTAAATTAAATAAGCTAAACTCGATACTATAAATTATTTCTCTTCTCTTTATAGATTAACTACATTGCTTAGTTTCAACAAGTACAGGTTCAATATTCCTATAATTAAACAAATATTAAAAAATTAATAATTAATGTTATGAAGAAAAGAATAATTGACCAAAAATAATGCTTACCATATCTGATTTGCGTATTCTTTGATAGCACGATCGCTATATAATATTAAAAAACATGATTAATAAAGTGTGATATATATATATATAATTTTACAGACATTTATATACTTACGATGAGAATTTGCCCATATTTGCAGCACACAAGATACTCTTTTTTGACCATCCTTCTTGATCTTTATAAGCTTCATCCACCAAAATTTGTGCATTAAGGTATGATTCGAAATCATCAGAGATTAGATAATAGTCTTTACCGTGAGTCAGTGTGTTGATTAAGGGTGCAAAAATACGCGAATCTCCAAAGTGACCTGATTCGATGTCGTTTACTACCGCTTGTAAAGCGGGATCCATTGGTACGTTACGGTATCTTTATCAAATAATGGAAAAGTTTTCTAACATATTTTTTTTTATAATTTATAAACAATATTGTTTGTTTGCTTACCTATGCGCATGTCTCAAGTCATCGATTCTATCAGCCAAATGTCCAAACATGAAAATGTTCTCGTCACCAATTTCTTCATGAATTTCAATATTAGCACCGTCAACTGTACCGAGAATTAAACCTCCGTTTAAAACAAATTTCATGTTACTGGTTCCAGAAGCTTCTGTACCGGCTGTTGAAATATGTTGCGAAATGTCCGAGGCTGGAATAATAATTTCGGCAACTGAGACATTATAATCTGGGATAAAAACAACCTGTATAATAAAATAATTTATGAATATAAGACATGTTATATTATTATATCATGTTACAATGAGAAAGAATATGATTTACCTTCAAGGTATCATCAATTGAAATGTCTTTGTTCACAACTTCGGCAACACTATTTATCAATTTAATCACCAATTTTGCAATGTAATAACCTTTGAAATTTTTTTTTAAAAAAGTATTAATTTAATAATTATATAGATTCGAATTTCGTAAATCATTTCAAATTAATAAAAGTAATTACCGGGGGCAGCCTTTCCTCCAAAAATGACAACTCGAGGAACAGATTTTTTTCGTTCTTTTGTGTCCATCTTTTTCAATGCATTATATCGGTGAATGACACTAATAAAAATAAAAATAAAAATAAATGAATTAGTGATTTATCTAAATTTTCAATTATTTTCATGAAATAAACATGAGCGTACCTCAAGATATTCATAAATTGTCTTTTATATTCATGGATTCTTTTAACTTGAACGTCAAACAAAGCATTTGGATTTACAATAATTCCAGTAGATTTTTCGATGTATTTAGCCAGACGAGCCTAATATTATGAAATTTCAGCATTCAATTGTTGCAAATACAATAACTTAATAAATTCAAATCATTGCATACCTTGTTTGAATGTTTAACATCAACCCAACGTTTTCTGAAATCTTTTTTGTTAACACATTTTTCAAGTCCTTTCAATAAATAAAGGTTCTAACCATTATTAAAGAAAAGGATTATATTAGTGAAAAAAACCCCCATCAATTTAATTAAGTAAATGGTATAATTTACCTTTAGCCAATCTTTATTTCCTAAGGTCTCGGTTATTAAATCACTTAATTTAGGATTTGCCTGATGTAACCATCTAAAAAAAACAATATACATTCAATTATTAAATAAAAAATGACATCTTAAAAATTATTATTCTAAAGTACCTGCGAGGAGTAATGCCGTTTGTCTTGTTCTCGAATTTTTTATCACCATAAAAACCAACGAAATCTTTAAAAATCTATATGAAAATTAAATATCAATCAAATCAGAAAAATAAAAAAGATGTTCATTAATAATTTAGTAAATTAAATTTTTTTTTTTACCGTTGTTTTGATTAAGCTTGAATGTAACTCAGCAACACCATTGACACGATGTGAACCTAATAACGGTCAATTGTGATCAGTCATATAAAATAATTTATATGGAAAATACAAATTAAATTTTGACTTACCAACGATGGCAAGATGTGCCATTCTAAAGAAAATATGCAAAATGAATTAAATGTCGAAAAATATGATCATTGAATAATTCCTTCTTTACTAACCTCACGAATTGTGGTGATGACTCCTCAATAATAGATAATTTGGCTAAAATGTCACGATCTTTGGGATAAGCCTTTTCAACTTTTTGTAAGAAGAACTGTTATCATAACAAAGAAAATTAGAAAAAGATCAGATCAAATTAAAGATTATCTGACACCGATTGTGATTTACTTACTAAATTGATATCGAAAATGATCTGCATATGTCTTGGTAACAAATATGACACCATGGGAACTGGCCATCTTTCCATAGCTTCGGGAAGAATAGTGTGATTTGTAAAAGCAAATGTTCGGGTGACAATGCCCCATGCATCATCCCAGTCAAGTCCTTCAAGATCGACCAATATTCTTTGAAGTTCGACAATAGCAAGTGTTGGATGAGTGTCTAATAAACAATTAATGTTAATTAATTAAGCAAAAGATCATTTGTTCGTGCAAATTCACTCACTAACCATTCAATTGGATGGCAACCTAAATATAAAAAGAAAGGTAAGATAAAGAGGGGTTAATATTATACATATTTAATATATAAATTTGTTTATACAAGGTTCACCTGATTAGGGAATTCGGTCCATAATCTTTGTGATTTTTTGAAGCGGCGAACGCTATTATAATAGATAAAAAACTTAATATGTAGAACTACAATATTTTGATCAGTTTCACAAATGTTTAAATAGCCAATAACTTACATATCGTGAAGACTAGCAGCTACCCAGAAATATTGTTGTTTAAGACGTAATTCCTTGCCAACCATATGATTGTCGTTAGGATACAACACAGCAGTTATATTTTCAGCTTTCATTTGTTCTTGGACAGCCTGTTCATATTGACCTTCGTTAAATCGGTTAAGATCAAATTGGCGCTCAGGTTTGCTACTCCATAGACGGATATTGATGCAATTCTTGGTACCATATCCTGATAAAAAACCAATCTATTTTATTAGATATTGGAAAAAAAAATCGAAATTAAAAAGTATAAGATCACTAACCTGGAATGGGTACATCATATGCAATAGCTTGAACGATTTCAGTACCTTCCCAAACGTGTCGTACGCGTTCTTGTTCATCAGTATAACGACTTACGGAACCGCAGAATTTAACATCAATGACAATATCGAGACGAGGAATTTCCCATGGATTATCGAAGTTAAGCCAATAATCCGGAAATTCGACTTGATAGCCGTCCTTTAACCTGTGTAAATCACCGGGACAAAAATAAATTAAACTCGAAAATTTACAAATATAAAATATAATTACACAATACCTTTGTTGAAAGATACCGTAAGTGTATCTAAGACCATAACCCCAAGCAGGATAATCCAAAGTAGCTAGGGAATCCATATAGCAAGCGGCAAGACGTCCTAGACCACCATTACCGAGTGCAGCGTCGACTTCTTGATCGAGGATATCTTCCATCCTGAAACCTAATTCCTTGACACCCTCTGAGAGAAGGGTAAAATACGTGTAAATGACTGATGTCACGTTATACACGTATACGTTAATCATATACACAGCATACCTCCACAACTTTCTTTTAATCCTAAATTGAGAAGAGCATTATCTAAAGATCTTCCCAACAAGAATTCCAAAGATAAGTAATATACACGTTTAGGATCAACTTCAGTATGGGTCTAAATTTAATTATCAATTTTAATCATGAAAATAAAATTAATGGTTTATAATTTGAGCGATCAAAAGGAATTACGCGAGATACGTTAAATCGCATCGATGGATGTAACACGAGCAAAATTCATTTAATTTAACTGATCAGATTAAATTTGTGCACTTGATGAAAGACTTGTTTAAAAAGATCATTCTAACCTGTTGTGTATCATTCCATCTTTGAATTAATCTATCTCGAACGCTATAAACACATTTATAAACCTGTTAAATTCTTATTAAAAAGTTTATAAATAAAAAAATTACAAAGTTTTTTTTTTATAACTTACGTATGAGCAGTTGCTTGATATGCACTAAAATTGTCGATATTGAACATTGATCTAGCAAGCGTTGTAGTTACGTGTCGAATAAAAGATTTTTGAATAGCTTCCTTATCTGTCACGAGAAAAAGGCCACCACTTTCAATCATACAAATTATCAAATAATTAATTCATCAGATCAAATACAAACCATCGGACTCTCCAACGCCATACTTTTCCCACAAAGCTAAAGTTTCTTTTGACCATTTAGCTTGTTCTTTCTTGATGATATGTTTCGCGTATCCAGTGAAGGTACGTTTATGGTGCTTTGGGGGATGAACAACTTCAGTAGACATAACTTGTAATTTGATATATACGATTCAAAGGATAAAGGAAACAATTAATTAAAAAAATCGAAAAGGCTTTTTACGAATGGGAATTTGGGAAAAGGTGAGAATCTATTGAAATATATAGGAAAATATTGAATTTTATAAGCCAATCAGATTTCAAGATAAGACGCAAGGTTAGAATCTATAATGTACTTATGTTGCACGAATGCAGTTCACGATTTATTTAGGGATTTTGGCTTGCTGTATTTTTTTTTAAAAAACAAAGGATAATAATGCATTTACGCAATGATGTGCGTATCAAAGGAAAAATCACAATGTTGATCTCACAAAATAAATATCAAATTGATATCATCATAGTGTCAGAGACGATATTATCAAGTTAGCAGTAGTTTTAGCGCCATCAACTCGTCAATCATTGACAATCGATCATCCAAAAAATATAATATGGTGATTTAAAAAATTGATTCTTAACCGTGTAACATGCATTTAACAAACAACCAATAAAAATAGCAATTTAGCCATCAAGTTTATTCCGTCTCGATAAGATGATCGAGCAAGCCATATATTTTGTTATTTTCCTGATTGATTTAGGGCTTCGTTCTATAATCACATGAAATTCGATATTCGGTCACTTTGTGTGCTATAAAAAGTTACCTATAAAACGATTCGATGAATTAATATCAGATGATAGGCATTTAGCCATTTAACCATTTAAGTCAATAGTTTATAAACAATCTTATGTAGTGAAATAAATAATTTTTTTTTTTTTTTTATACATTGACCAGATTAAATTTGGATACCCTAATTTTACTGATTAACTACTTTTAGCAAATTACTTGTAATTTCAATTACAGTAACCGAAAAATTATTTTTTTAATCACTTTCTACTTTTTTAAAAAAAAATTTTATATTAAAAAATTTAATTATCAACCTTTAACAATATTATTATAATTAAATGTGAGTGTTTCTAGGAAAATCAGGTTCTGAGAAATTTTTGACTAAAATTAAGAGCTTAATACATTTTAATCTAATAACA